AATGCTGAAAATATGATTGTGTGGTGAGAAGTGGAATTTCTTCTGATAAACATGAATGAGTTGAACTGCCGAACTCAACAGTCATAATCTCATCAAAGCATCCATGTTACAAAGCAAACATATCACTCAGCTGAGGATACTATTACAAGGGGACACAGATTCGCATCTCATCATTGGTCACAAGCAGAGAGCCACGAGAAAGCCATGTAAGACTCAGCCCAACTAAACTAGCAATGCGAGAACCAATGGCTCGGCGCCACACTAAGACTAAGAAACGGCACCGTTTGACCCCTTACCGCCCATTGAGGTCATCCTTGCTCAATGTTAGATGCCGAGTGAGATCAGTGTCGGAGGATTAAATCACTGACCATGTTTCTCCTCCCTGATGGCTATTTATCAGGTCACAGCCCGGATTGACGCATTCCTCCGTACAGTGTTTGCTCTTGAACTGCGTACGGGCTCGGAGGGTCTAAATTAAGTCGTGCTGCGAGACACTGAACTATTTTCAACTGATCCATATTAGGCAGGCTATGCGATAGGCTTCTCCGGAACGAGTTAAGTATGGTCCAAGAGAGTTAGCATTGAGTATAAACCAGATCACAATCCTGGCCCTTGATTCACAGTAAGGTTTTCGTGTTGTTGCAATACAGTCTCACTTACGAGCGGTACACGAAGAACAGTAAGACCGAGCTTCGCGTATCGATAATTTTCGTATATAATAATGCAATGTAAGCCGTGTCCATGACATCGGGTCCACCGAGATGCCTTGCCGGGAGCCTGGCAGCGTGTTTGACGTTCTCGTTCAGTATGATACCCTCAAAATAAGAATAAGCATCTGACGCTTGTCAACACTGCCTCCAGCCCGTGTCATATTTAGCTCTGTTCAGTCCATCCAATACATTTCTTTTGTCTGCCAGTTCACGTCAAGTCTCTCCCTCCAAGTTACCAGCAGAGTGGTGCTTCACTGACCCAGACACTGCCACTCCCACCCTATCGAGACTATCAGCCCTAAATGATGCAGGCCTCTGACATGGATGCTTGACAAGCTTTTCGGCTACTACTAATATTACCTGCCAATGAGAGGGGAAACCTTCTTGGAGGCCCTGAGCGTTGATCTGATCTAAACCCTACAGTGTGGGCTTGTCTAGCTCCTGTTGAGGCTACTCTAACTCGAAACTAAACCCAGGCAGCCGATGCCATTCAACCTCATACAAAGATCGTCTCCTCGGCATTTCTACCGAGATCAGATCCCTTTTTGGCAAATTCCCAGAGCTGCCAGTTTATTTTGGCCCCCAGATTTGTTAACATATGGTAACTGATCCTTCAACGTTTACACCTCTCGAGCAAGATGAGCTCGAAACATCCCTTGAGACGATCGTGTGCGTTTTGTCGGGCGAGAAAAATCAAGTGCTCAAACGAAACTATCTGCGAGGCTTGTCGTAAGCAAGGTGCCGACTGCATTTACGACTTTGAGCCTCCAAGACCAAAGGGTCGGAACTTGAGCTTCGACAGCACAAAAGCCAACAATCACCTACAGGTGCGGAGTGAACATGAACTACCTGACAGTAAGAGAAGGAGATCGTGCTCTGCCAATTCTGCCTCTTCTATGTCTCCTGGCAGAACCCACGAAGATCTTGCCCCGTTGGCTGATGGTGTTGAGAGCCTTGCTACATCCCTTGAGCAGATGTTCCAGGACAAGTTTTCCCCGTTGATTTTTGGAGAAGTAGGAAAAGCCCAGCAGCAGCAAAGCACAGACGCCGAATTCACTGGCCTGCTGTCCCTGATTGCCTTTGACCTTGTCGCTTCTGTTGGCCAGAGATATAGCGACTTGGGGTCTCCTCAGTCTAATGAAAGTAACCAATTGATCCGATCTGGATTGTCCAACGACACTTCTACCAACATGTTCGAAAATCCTTCAGCATATTGTAGCCCTTTGTCTACCTTGAGCCATCGACAGAGGAACCAGCTTATCGACGTCTGGTTCTCCACACATCCCCTAACATTTCTCATCTCCAAGACACTGCTGCTTCGAGAGATCCGCGAGGATACCTGTGACGAAATCCTCATGGCTGTGATGCTAGCTGATGCTAGTTTCGTCGTCGGAGAGGACTCGACAGTTACTCGTGGACATGAACTCCTGCAGTGGGCCAAGACTCAGCTACAGATGCGGCCCTGCTATCACCCCTCCGAGGACAATGATGCTGTATACTCTGGTGTGCCTACGAGAGTTTATAAAGGGGTTACCACAGCACAAACCTTGGTGCTGCTGGCTTGGAATGCCCTATCTTCCCACGAATTCCGCCGAGCGATCTGTTATATCGAAGTTGCAAGCAAGCTGGTTATCGAGATCAAGGATTGTATGTCGAGGGATGCCTCCCAGCCGAACTCTAGCCGCATAAATGGCGTTGACGTCCTTGATGTCGAGAAAGAAGTTGTCTCCAATCTCTGGTGGACAACATATTCCCTTCACATCTGGACCTCCATCCAAGCAGGAGTCTTGCCCAAGACCACACCGTCAACCTTTGACCTCGAATCTCTCCCCGTGACCTCGACCTCATCGGTTACCATTCAGCTTGACCTCGTCTCTGAGAACTTCAACACCTTGCAAAAGCAAAAGGGCAACATTCGAGAAATGAGGCCTCTAGCCCAGGTTGTCAGCACTGTTGCGTACCTGTTCTCCCAAACCTCGGATCAAACCGCCTCAAAGCATGGCGTTGGTATCTGTCAAGAAGCTATCCGCTCTTTTGGTACAAATACAAACGATCTGAGAGCAAAGGGTCAAGATGATGACAGATTGTGGCAACTGCTTGTTGCGTTTCACCATACCATGATCATTCAGTTCCTCTTTCCCAAAAATGGCTCATTCTACGAGCAAGTGGTGGTCCCGGCTGAGACTGTTCATCAATTTTGCGCTTCTGTCGAACAAATCATACAGTCCCTTTCGCCAACCAGACAACTCAATCAAAACTCAGCCTCAACATTCCAGCAACCCCTCTCTAAAGCTCTGTGTACTCTCATGGACACTTGTTCCCGAGCTTTCAACCTCCTCCGGGATAACCTAGGGCTTAGTCTTGATCATAGCTACTTCCGTCCAGAGTGGGATAGTCGTCTCTGTTCTCTGGCAAGCTCCTTGTACACGATCAGCAAAGACGAGCGATTCTACCAAGGCACAGTCTTGCGCAGTGTGCAGAAGCAGATCAAATCATGTGCTCGTGCTTTTGGCAGTAATAACAATACGAACGCGCTTGGGTTGTTGGAGCCGAGCATGAACTCTATGCGATCCATGTCGCACTCCCCTCAGAGCAATGCCCGACCTCCAAATGGCTTTATCGGGAGCAATGAAGCCTTGGTGGATATGCCCTCGCCCTTTCAGGCTGAAGCTTCTTCGAGGGTATCTTCATCTATGCCATCTTCGTCGGGCTCTTCTACTAGTGTGTCAACTCACTCGTTCACCCCGTTTGAGGAGATGAACAAATGGCCAATCAACGAGACTTTTCCTCAAGGGATGATGTCCACCAATATGAACTCTCACCCTATTGTTCAACAAGGGATGTGGTATTCGCAAGCACCCCCTATGGTGAATTTCGAGGCCGCCGGCCCTGTCTCTCTTCAACATAGCCAATGGGCTTGGCCACCCACAAGTGGCGAAGAGGCGCCATACATATCTTTCCAAACTCTAGATATGGATGAGACCTGAATATGAGTTTTAGGATGTCAGTTTCGACATTGGATGAGTGCAATTATGATGATAACGGACAAAACAGAATGAAGCGTGTTATTTGTTTATTGGTGGACTCGAAAATTGGAACTCGCCGCTGGCGGCATCGATGTTTGCTTGCTGAGCATTGCGTGCGCTGGATTGGTGTTTTATTATGTATATATTTTAATCAAATGCTGGAGAGAAAACTCGAAACTTTGATAAGGCGCCAGAAGAGCCTGTGTATCATATCTATAGTTTTTTCTGCCTTTCGCATGACCAATAGTTATCGTCCCTATAGTTCATCCTCATACTTTCGTATCAATACCAATCAAGAAGCCACGAAAGTATTCCTTATCATCATACACAGAAGATGTTCCATCAACAAGTACTTGTAAAAGAGCTGATATACATGTTATCATAAGAACTGAATTTCTAGTTCAGGTTGATCTAGAGTTATAGTCAAAAGACTCCAAGCAAACATTTAGGTCAACACTGAAAATGCCTGTAGGATCGGTCTTCTCTGTATGGTAAAATGTCATCTTATCGATATTTCGGCTCGGATCCGGTCAGTCCGGGAATCTCGGACCGGAAAAGTGGATATCCACGGAGTGCTTCAAAAGAGTTGGATAGAAATCAACTCAAAAAACGATGACTGTAAGAGGCTGATAAGACCAAAGCGACCTTTAATTATGCTAGGAAGTAAGGCCGGTATGATAGATAGTATTCCAGGCTTTAGCCCTATACTTTTCACCCAGATAAGAACACCGAGTTTCAGGGTAGGCCCCTTTGACTGAACCTTCACTCGAGTGCCTCTTTGGAACTCGATCTTCCATTGTTCTAATTATCTTTGGATGCAAGGCCTTCTTTCTGATTCTTCGCTTCCGATCCAAAGCTCTGGCGCAACCTCAGCCCATCATCTTTGTCTTCAGAAGGAGTTATCAGGAATGGTGGGATGTACTAGTAACGGAGGCAATTACACAGAATCGAGTAGTAGCTGGGGAGTCGATAGAGACCGCTTAGACATAACTTGGAAATTCTTGACTATAAAACACGACGTTCCCTCTCCTATTCCAAAGCCGGACATTACATTATTGTCGAGCGACGATCTTGCTCAAGCTATCACACGTGGTTGTATTTCTCGTTCCACGCCATTATCGCTGACGTCAGCTGACGAGGGTAGCTTTGATGCCAAATTGGCTAGCTCTTGCAATTAACCACAAAGAAGTTCAACAACGACAAACTTCAGATCACTTTTTGCGCCCTGAAACTTCAGTACTCTCAGCGCTTAAACCCATCAGTCATGAGATTGCTATATGCTCTCCCCGCAACTTGCGCGCTCATCTACCGCGCCAAGAGCAGGAATTCTTTAACGCCCGCTGGCATCTTCGCTGCGACTCTGACAGCTGCCGCACACGCCTACCACCCATGGAATCTTCCATTTGCACTCCTATGTGTATTCTTCCTTGCCGGAACACGCGTAACACACGTAAGTATTTGCGCCCGCTACATGGGCAAGGGAGATGTCTGACGACGTCTCAGATCAAAGAAGGCATCAAGGCCAACTATACGCTTCGTTCAAAGGGTACATCTGGAGGCGAAGGGCCTAGAACACATGTTCAAGGTAAGCACTTGAAGCCATTTATGAATCAATTGACTGATCTGTCAAGTCCTCGCCAACAGTTTGATGGCCTCTGTCCTCTCCGTCCTCCACGCGAACCAACTACGAAAACGAGAAGCCGCATTCGCCGATCCTAATACTCCGGATCCCACGGGATCACTATGCTTTTCATGGGGCGGTGACCTCCTGGTCGTTGGAATCATTGCCAATTATGCGGCCGTTGCGGCCGATACCTTCAGCTCCGAGCTCGGTATCCTGTCTTCAGGACAACCTCGACTGATCACATCACCAACACTCCGAAAGGTGCCTCGCGGAACAAACGGTGGTGTCACCTTACTGGGGCTAGGTGCAGGTTTGCTGGGGTCAATGATTATTGTCACCACATCCATGATATTCCTACCGTCCTGCAGTGAGGAGTCATCTCAGACGCCCGCAGGCGGTACCGCATGGACGATGCTGGAGCGACGAAAGTTCATGGGGTTCATGGTGATCTGGGGTGCTCTTGGCAGCGTCTTGGATAGTTTCTTGGGTGGCCTATTTCAACGGTCAGTCAGGGACGTACGGTCCGGTAAAATTGTCGAGGGAGAAGGCGGCAACCGCGTCCTAGTAGCCGAATCCGCCATGGACGCGGCCGCTCATTCGAATGTCAAAACCGAGGCCATTCAGAGTGAGGCAAAAGAGAAGCTTGGTGGTTCCGCTATTGTGGACGATGACGATGCTCATGCTGGTGTCTACCATCATAAAGACAAGCACCGCAAGTCAAGTTTTGGAGATCAGCGACCATCGCGGGCTGTCGAAAACGGTTGGGATCTTCTGGACAACAATGATGTCAATTTCCTCATGGCAGTTACGATGAGCGTTGGCGGTATGGCAGTAGCGAGCTGGTACTGGGACGTGCCCATACAGAGCGTCATGGGTGTGTAGAAACACAAGTTAGCGACGTCATTTTGAGGGTCAAGGGCAATTCTTGACCTTGGCCCCTTCCTGCCAAGACCAATGAGAATAAAGTGATGTAAAGAGCAACTCCCTTTCCCTTCTGATCCCCTTTGATCCATCACGAGATTTAAACCACCATTACCCGTTGCCACTGGATGGTGTTGAACTGCGTCAAGACGCACACAGATGCTGAGTGCCTCCAGCTTGGCACGGCCAACCCCCGGTGAAAGTCCGTCACCCCCCGTCAATCACCCCGCCGGGTCTCGCTGCATCTCGGAACGCCAAACCCGGAGTTGACTCCGTGGTGGGTAAACTTTGAGTCCAATGCGAAATCGGCAGATTTTGATTTCAAAAGCCGGCACGGTATCTCAACAATTAGACTCAATCTCATTCGCGCAACAAGTTATCTGGACGTGATTCCATCACCCAATTCTCCAGATCTCGGAGGACGGGAGGGTGGGAGCGAGAAAAGCCAACCGATTTACATCCCCCTTCTGGCGATCCAATAGACATGAGGCCTTTAGTGATCGAGATTAATTGCTCTTTCTCCTCCAGAGATAGGAAGATATCGAGGAAACCTGGGGTAAGCCCAGAATCGGATCAGTTCCTGTTGCTCATTTAAATGTGTAATAGTCTCAAGCTTGAGTCTGATTGGTCTGACAATTTTCCAATGAGTCAAAATGGGGATTGCGGGGGGACGGCAGATCTCCATCTCAGCAGTGTGGAACATTCAGTAGGAGCATTGCCTCTTTGAGTGACTATTCTGCTATTCTAAAGCAATGAAACTTATGATGAGTTTTGAAAAGACAGTAACATTTAAGAAGATTATGATCAAGTTAGGATGACTCTCTTCTAATGAAGGGAGGCGTAGCTGTGGTGTTTGGCCATAGTTACCAAACCAAAGTTTCGAGCACTTGCACTTGCACTGAGATAATTTTCTTCCACTCACAGAGCAGGAACGATTTGCATAACTCTGCTTTCCTTCACTGGCTAATCTCACACGAATCCTCGACTGAGAAGAAAATTTCTCCTGACGTCTTCAGACGCGCCCTCTAATCACTCTGGTGTTATTCTTCCTCTTGGCCTGCCTTGTCATTACCATACATTTACTTGAGAGCATCTCAATTAAGTTGTCGGAATATGCATTACCCCTGGCATCGTCAAGGGCTCTATTTTTTCTCATGTTCTCGTGCGTGTCAGTCCACTGACGAGAACCGTTCGTTACAAGCCAGTCGGATTCAGCTCGGGAATAATTGAACCCTGACACCCGGCAGAATGGAGTCCCTACCCAAGGAGAATGGATGAAGAGGTGAGGAAAATCGACTGACACGACCGGACCGACGCTAATAGTTGACGGCAAACCCCAGCAATTCAATTATTCGACTCATCGCGTATCCCCGAAGCCGGAGACCACAGCCTCTCAATCCAGGACAGTGCCTGAAAGTCAGGAGTGTCCCGAAATCTACATTGCAATTTTGTACGGTCTGGGGAAATGGAAGAGGACCTGAAGATCGGAATCAATGAGCGATTTACAGTTCGGTTAGTGATGAAAATAGCCAACCAGAGACGAAGATATCTGAAACGGCTTTGAAGCCGTCGGTCGAAACCCAACGTGAGATAACAGGCATTATGCAGAGCATGCCCTGAGCCAATCACGACTCAATGATAAGAACATGCAAGTTGCTGTCCATCTCGGGTGTGTGGCTTTAGTTCGTTGGGTACGGTATTCTTTTTTTGGGGTGGCGTTGGTGACAAGGCTGGGCGTGCTTGGAGAGACACCGACTCGTCGCCGGGCAGCGCTGAGAATGAACCCCAAAAAAGAAGCGGTGGTAGAAGGAATTGCACTCCGGCCGAGGTGTTACTGCCCATGGTTGGACAACTTCAACAAAGAAACAGGGCCTTCTGACCAAAAAGAGTATGGTTCGTCTGGGGTTCAAGAAACGATTTGGTAACAGATCAGGGACAAACCGGAACCACCGAGGCTGTCGGGGTTCCTGGAGAGTCACAAGCACCAGGCGTTAAGCGTTTCTCAAAATAGCTGGGCCTGGCTCTTGGCTGGTGTATTTCGGGGTATCCATGGCTCACATCAGAAGGCTCAGGGCGCAGTTTGGTCCTGGAGCTCTTTTTAGACATGCCCTGTGGACACCACATTTGCTACCTGTCCTGCAGCATGTGCGAATGTGGACCAGACGTACGAAGTCACAAGGATTACACCTGTCCCACCCAACCCCAGAATCTTTGCCCACGAAAGGCGCGGGCACCATTAGATAGCCTCTACTTGAGAGTGGGAGGGAACTTTGGGGGTTCAATTTCCTGGGGAAGCAGACGGAGGCGCCACGGGATGCCTTCTTATCTATGGTTCACGGATTGACTGACCTACCTAGGTACTCAGTGACGACTGCATGAAGCTTTTGAATGCAGGATATACAATTGGTCCGAATTGCCAACGCTGGAAACACATGGTTTTCACCTTATCTCACCCCCACTATTCCTTATCCGGGCATGCGTACAGAGTATGTACCACATACGCACAACCACATGCGCAATTAACTCTACTTTAATGTGTTTAATGGGCCATTGCTGCGATAAGAGTTTGGGTCAATTAGTTGTGGTATACTGGGCCGCATTTCCTCAATGGAGTCGAGGCTCCGTAAGCGGAGCAAAGCGGTTTATATCCGCCTATTTTGATAACTAATTGTCAGAGAACAGGTTGAGCCGGCACTGAGCCGAATCGTCGTCTTAATCAGCTACCAAACCTCGCCGGCCCGGTGATGATTAGATACGGAGGCTGATGAAAAGCACCGCCTTATGCCGCTGGGGATACCCGCTGAGCGGCTGTGTCAAAAAAGTATGAGTACCTTGCACATACACCGTCTCCGCCAAAACCGCCCCATTATGTCATACTGTTTTCAGCACTATGCTGAGGCGGCAGTGCCCTGAAAGTTTCGCTACGACAGCGATACTACCCACTGAAGAAGGCCCTGTTCTCATTCAGCCGGCTGCCGGAGAAGCACTTACGTGCTGGAGACGGTGGTGCAATTATGGAAAATGTGTTCCACTTGAAGGAAGCTACTGGCTTCCCCCTGAGTTATTCTCGACTTGCGTGGCGAGATCTATCATAGGGATTATACGGGAGTCAGTTGCGGTAGGCATAGGCGATTGGGTCTCGTTTACAGCAGCATACCTTATATACATATTCATCAGGAAGAAAAAAACGTCTATGCATGTTCAAAACAAGTATCTTCCCTGTGTGTGGTGTCTTGTTAAGCTTCATGTATACACCCCCTCCACAAAGAGGCCATGCCGAACGCCAATCGAGGATTGTGACGGAATACATTCAACCCCACTCTGAAAGCCGGTAACAGCCACGCCCCTGCATCCGGCCACAGGGAATCCTTATCTTTTGGCGGGCGAGAGCATCAACCTTTCTTTGGAATCCGTAAACATAAAACCCGCGACGCCCCAGCCTCCCAAGGTTTAGTTTTTCGGTCATCCTACACATAATCGTTTGATTGCCTGATACATCTGTATCTTCTTTTCATATTTTCTTCATATCTAGAATCTGCCCGGCCCCTCACATTTAAATCACATTCACAATGGTTGGTACTCATGATAGCAATCTGCTTATCATCAAACCACTAACATGGTGTTCCACAGGCTGCTCCTATCACCTCAAGGACGGAGACTCTCCAGAAGTTTCTTAAGCTCGATCAGAAGGGCATGATCATGGCTGAATACGTCTGGGTTGATGCCGACGGTGGCACCCGATCCAAGTCCCGAGTAAGTCGAAATGCGGCGACCCACATCACCGATTCCGGGGCTGCAAAATTACCCGATTGAGAATATGAACACGAGCTCACAAGTCGCAGACTCTGCCCGAGAAGGACTACACCCCAGAGGATCTTCCTGTCTGGAACTTTGACGGTTCTTCTACAAACCAGGCCCCTGGCGAGAATTCTGATGTTTACCTCCGCCCCTGCGCCGTGTATCCCGATCCCTTCCGCGGCTCCCCCAACATCATCGTTCTTGCTGAGTGCTGGAACGCCGATGGCACACCCAACAAGTTCAACTTCCGCCACGACTGTGTCAAGGTGATGGATCAGTATGCCGATGACGAGCCTTGGTTCGGTCTGGAGCAAGAGTACACTTTGCTCGGAAGTGATGACCGACCTTATGGCTGGCCCACTGGTGGTTTCCCTGCTCCGTAAGTCTCATGCTGTGTCAGAACACGCGCACAACTAATCCATTTAAAGTCAAGGAGAGTACTACTGTGGTGTTGGTACTGGAAAGGTTGTTCAGCGTGACATCGTCGAGGCACACTATAAGGCTTGTTTATGTGAGTGAACTTCTCTGATTGTGCTCTTCTCAAGCTATAGCAGTTTGATGATTCTGCCATTCTCCTATCCGTATTGTATCTAACAAGGCCCTAGATGCCGGTATCAAAATCTCTGGCACAAACGCCGAGGTCATGCCTGCTCAGTGGGAGTATCAGGTCGGTCCCTGCAATGGCATCGAAAGTAAGTTGGTGGAGACCCCGCTTAAACCTCGGGATTCCCCACAAATCGCGAGACCTTCGCTAACCACCTAATCTTCTCAGTGGGCGACCAACTCTGGGTTTCACGATTTTTCTTACACCGTGTCGCCGAGGAATTCGGCGCCAAGGTTTCTCTGCATCCCAAGCCGATCCAGGGCGAATGGAATGGGGCGGTGAGTAGCTCCTTCCTTGTCTAAATTTAATGCTAATATCTTTCCAGGGCCTGCACTCCAACTTCTCTACCAAGGCTATGCGCGAGGAGGGTGGTATGAAGGTTATCGAAGAAGCCCTCAAGAAGCTGGAGCCACACCACGTCGAGTGCATCGCTGAATATGGCGAGGACAATGACTTGCGCCTGACTGGTCGCCATGAGACTGGTTCTATCGACCAGTTCACCTGGGGGGTTGCCAACCGCGGCACGAGTATTCGCGTCCCCCGCGAAACTGCGGCGAAGGGCTATGGCTACTTCGAGGACCGTCGTCCTGCCTCCAACGCGGATCCCTACCGTGTTACCAAGGTTCTTCTACAATTTTCCATGGCTTAAAGCGAGTTTAGAGGGTTTAGCATTCTGATGACATGGTTTACGGCGTGACGGTTTGGGCAACTATTGATTACATAGATAGCATGATAGCTTGTCCTGAAGGACAGTAATGACAACAATCAGTAAAATGTTTGTTCAATCAAGTTTCTGCCAATATGACTGATCCGAGACACAATATGGTCAATATGTCGTTCAAATTAAGCTTATTTTAAGCACGTGGAGAGAGTCCACGCGACTACCCCGGGTTGTTCCCGGCCCGCACTCGATGACCTCCATACTTTTTGGAAGGTGCTTTCCAGGAACATGTGTATTTGGTTGTTCAGCGGTATGAGTTTTGTAGTAGCTCAACTTGGCATGGCTTATGAGTGTCATATTGTGCATGACGAGTTCCTTAATTTCTGTTGTGCTGCCTACTCTTGTAGTATCGCATTCTTGATAGCGAGTCTTCAATTGCGATGAACTTCCATTGCACCTCAATGCGACACATCTCAGGTTGAACCCGAAGAACAGGGAGGGTGGCAGCACTGGTTCGAAAATGACACTATATGGATATGTTACTTTGCCTTACGGGCACTGGAAGTGTCATTCATACCAAATGAGGGCAAAAACTAGTATAACAGTAAAAGGGGGGATTAAAGCTAATTTCCGCCGCGGCAACTAGCTGTTGCTGTATACCAGCAACAGTAGCCTCATTGACAAAAAGTCTTGCTTTGAGATCGCCGACTTCTTCCTTTAAAGGGTCGACGTGCTAAATAAAGATAAAGTTTTAATAACAAATATCCTAAAGTTAGGCTAAATTTAGGCTAAGATTATCTTAATTTACCTAAGTCCTTTCGTTACATAGGATCGAGGTCCCGAGTTTTCTTTCCTCCCCTGGCATCAGTCTTCTTCTCAAAGGCAGAAAGGCGCTGCTCTCAAGCAGCAAAGCGCTAAAATAATATTAGAAACAAATAATGATAAAAGCATGTAATGCTTACGGGATCTTGTAGTTCTTGGGCGAACCTTGCGCCCTGGCTCCCGAGCTTATTGTTCTCTGGCTCCTTCTTGGGACATTGAGAGGCATAGTGCCCCTTGCCATTGCAATGAAAGCACTGGCGCTGAGCCATTGACTCCTTTGTACCAGACCGCAAAGGTGAAGGACGACGGTGTTTTTGTTAAACACCTCGTGAGCGTTCTTGGCATAGGCGTTAGTGTTTATGGCGAAGCTCTTGAGCTTGTTGAGTCGTTTGTTACTTCCGTTCTCTATGCTTCACTGCTATGATTACTGTGTTAGTTTCGGAGAGTAGTGGAGAGTCGTCTAGGGAAACGTCATCGGGATCTTATTTTACCGTCCTATTTACCTCTGGTACTGGGTTCTCCTCCCATGAGGCTGAGCAACGAGGGTTTTGGCTGCGGCGGCGGGGACTCGCCAGCATGCTTGGCCTTTCGTGGCGACCAGTCATGCGGAATGTTGCCACAAGAGCCGAGTACCAGAAAACCCCATCTGAACTATTTCCAACTTACGAAGAAGGTCGTTTTGGGTCATGCCTTTGTTGTTGCCTTGCATTCTGTGCTCAAGGTCAGTTTCGTGCACTCTCCAGTAGTGGTTTCGCAGAGTACTCGGACTTGCAAAACGTTTATTCTAAATGTATTAGTATATAGTGCCCAATTGTTTTGGAAACCGGTTCTTGCTTACGGTGCAGAAAATCTGGTCGTCTGCCTCACGCCATCGGCAATACCGTTCGCCTGGATTGATAGATAAAGTACTGGCCATCGGTGTTTTGCTGAACGCGAGGTGGGAGTCGAGCGTCAGGTCGTACTCCATTGTTATGGAAGGAGCATGTACGTCAATTGTTGGTTGCTGGGCACGGGGACGTATGTCAGTCTGCCTTGAGTCTGAGCTATTGGGTCGTATTCGTTATGATTTTTAGAAATGGTCCAGTTCACACACATCGGAAGTGTTCTATCTCGCCGGTTGGACTGGTGTGTTCGTGCCAGGATGTGTCGTTGGAAACTCAGATGGCCCGACGACTCGACGGCCGTACCTGCATTCGAGGTTGACTGGCCGGTTAGGTAGTGCCAAGTAACAGAACCCAAGTAGGTCATGCCGATTCGTCCTGGCAGTGCTATGCAGTTACTATCGCCTAGGTTGGCAGCTGCCTTTGTCGATATGTGTTCAGCATCAACTTTTCACACGTTGCATATTACATCATGATACTGGTTTGAACAGATGGGAAACTTAGCAGTTTTGACTAAGGTAGGTAGTCTAAAGTTATGCCAATCTTGTCTATGTTATCCTAAAGATAGCTTAACCTTTTCTATACAATTCTAAATTTAGGACCGCATATTCATAAACTTAGACTTACTCCCCATTTTAAATCCGCAATAAACCCCTAATTAATAATTTGTGATGTTGTTGTAAAGCAGATCCTATTTCTTCGCAACGGCAGCATTTTGTGGAATTTCGCCCGAGCCTCGCGCCGGGTTTGCAGTTGTCTTCTTCTCTGAAGTGGCGGTTCGACGTCGTTTGTCATTTTCGACACTGGTTCAGAACTTCTCTTTTCTTGCCCCTTGCCGCCAGTGAGAGTTGCTAACAGCGAAAAACCTTGCGGAATCTCCAATCTACTTAGCTAGGTAGATTCTGTTGATCGTCCCGACGATAGTTGCTGCCATCTTTCCTCCTTTGACATTCAAGATAACGCCTAGGCCATGCTGAGAAATTTATGTTCGTGCGATTAAAGCAGCCTTCGCAGGTAAGTACCACAGATAGTCTTTTTCCCATTTTCTGCACTTGAGAATGTGCGCTATGGAACGTGTGATGGAGGTTCAGCGTCAAAAATTGATAACATAACTTAACAATCTTATCTTTGGATCAAGTTGTTGGTCACTCAGCGGTTGAGCTTTTTGCAGTGATATCATCCTAAACCTTATAGACGTAAACGCTTGTTGGTAAATGAAACAGTAACATGATATCAGAAATACGTAAATCCTTACAAATCAGACAGCTTGTCTACCGCATGAGTGTCATCAGTAGATATGACTCTCCCTGATGCTTCAAGAACACGTTGTCCACAAAAGAGCATCATAGACTCGGAAACTACTTTGAATTCAATCGTTTGCAAACGACGGGTATATTCCCGTGTCACTTATCGAGTTGATAGTAAGCTGAAGTCATAGTTAAGCCAATGCTATGGTTTTAGACCTTGGAATATCTTGAAAACCAATGCCCCTATGAGAACTATGTTAACGAGACAGGATCGGTATACCACTAGCACTACTTAAATATCAGGGGATCCTTCTCTTTGAACAAATAACTGATACTTATCATAAGTATAGTAGCGTCAGGACAGGTGACCGTGACAGTCGTGGCAAACCTAAGGGGTATCAGATCGATCTCCGTCATATTAGGGCAAGACGTTACAGTACGATGGAGTCGATGCAAGCCGTTCAAGGCAATTATATTTCTATCTTGGTACGCCATCGTTATATGACGACGGCAAGCACACAGTAGAACTTCGCCTTGGTAGAAACAGGTCTGATAGCTGTCTGATATACCTGCAAGGTTGAATGTACCTCAATCATCGCCCTGCAAGTATATGCCATAAGTTCAGGTTCCACTCCGAGGGTAGTATTCAAAGGCCAACGCAAATATCCACGAATATTGACAAGTCGTGTCTCAGCATAAGCAAAGGGGCCTCTATTGTCTTATCGCAGTCCATCAACCCGGACGGCTTTCGAGATGCTAACGACCAGTCAAACCGGCATGGTGTGGAGAATTGCAGAGCACCTATAATCAATAAGATATTCCGTTTTGCAGCAATGTTGAATCATAGCTCGAAATGGCTATACTGCAACTCGAACGACCTGGTGTTACAGAGGCCCTTTGTTGGGAAGAACTTGAGTGCTTGCCTGATGACTGGAAAGCTTGGTCTACGGTTTATCTTGATTCTCTGCATGTTGTTAGGAATCTGAAATATTTCCATAGCCCTTTTGCGTTCTACTCTTGGAGCTGGCTTCGAAACGCTGAAGCTGGGAGGGTTAACGATGTGGCTTCCAATTTCGCGTTTCCAGCAGCACGTCAAATCCTATCGGCCGATAGTCTAGACATGGTGCGCTTGTTAAGACTTCCAAAGCCCAGGCTCGATGGCTTGGTTGACAGCTGCAACAAGTAACAGGTTCGATTTCACCGGAGTCTGGTTATGGACCACCAACGAAAAGACTTGTGGCAGATATCCAGAAATGACTCCATTCTCAGGGGCCGTTCATACCTCAGCCAATGGCATTGAACAGAGTTCTGCCTGTTCATCAGGGCTTCAGATCCAGCGTTCGGGTCTTTCGGTAGCGCAGTTTGTGCGAGCATAACTCCTCAAACTACACACTTGGACTCATCAAGTCACCGCTGACACGGCAATGTGTTTGTAGAGGTTGTCTTGATGAGCAACTTCTGTCGTGAAGAAGAAGGACACTGGTGGTGTAGTGACCAGTTCCAAAAGAAACAGCGGTGGGTAAAGGTTTCGACTCGGACCATCAGCTGATATGGAATTCAAAAGGCACGCCTAACTAGTGAGAATGACTTTTAGTGTAGCCGCTTGTCTTTCTTAAGGAGACAGCTTTTGTTGTCTAGGCTTCGCATCGCCGGCTGACATGGAGAAGCGGTTCGGTGCGGCCACTGGCCTAGCTGGAAGAGACAGTTAATGCTGTCAGGAATTCTCATCGTCCGTTGACATGAGGACTATGGTGGCGCCCAAGATGTGACACAATATTCTGCGATAAAGCCTTCTGCGACAGGATATGCCTTCCTTTGACAAAACCGCCGTCTTCAATAAACCATTCTACGCAGCGACTACCGTATGAACTCATGAAATTCGGTAGCGCCTGTAAATACACGCTAGTACGAGCGATTTCCCTCATTTGACCAATCAGACTATCTAACTACAGTACATTCTGACCAATTAAATGACTTTATTAGGCTAGTGCGTATCCACGCGCGCTACCGAGTTTCATGAGTTCATACGGTATTACAGAGCAACTCTGCACATTCCAACAACATGTCCTTCGGGGGGGGGGG